CTATAAAATATGCCAATGAGCTATTCAGGCAGTAGTGACATACCTGAAGGAGCTGGGTTTGCATTCTCCATGAAGTGAAGTAAATTGCATTGCATCTGAAATTAGACATGCATTCTCTTGATAATTTTATTCTGATCCTGCAGCACGGGAGAGTAATGTTTTCGAAAATGCCTCGGGCCAGATTCAAAGAAAAATGGTAGTAATAGTAACAGTGAAATGGTAAAGATTTCCAGGAGCCCTTGGGTGTCTATAGCTCCACCGACTGCAAAGGAGATCAGACACCTTCGGGTTCTGGAAAACCTCAGACTGCACCTGTCTACATCTTTAGATGATTTGGGAGCCAAAATGTCAGTGAAAATCAATCACAGCTACAGAGAAACTGAGACAAGGTGTGTTTTGGTCATTTTATCCCTGCTGCCATTTGGTGTACAAGTTAGGATTTCATTCTCTGCTAAAGTATGTTGACGTAACTCTACCTCACTCCAGTGAAGAATGCAGCCCCCCAAGTTTCTCTGTATCTTTTCCAAAGGTAGACAGTAATTCAGTCGAACACTGGGAGCTGACGCACCTCCTCTGGCATTCCCTTCTCCTGTTAAGGTAAGAGAGGAGCCAGAATATGGACCTCAATTGAATTGCCAGAGAGAAGAAAACACAGTCACAGGACAGTTCCCTAGTCCTACGCAGAATGCCGCCTCATTCCCACATCAGGCTTTTCAGCTGTAAAACCCTGTGATCTTGGTAGAACTACTGGTAGTTTTGCCAGGAGAATATCAGAATCAGACTGCTTTCAGAAACAGCTATGGGGCGATACGTTAAAGCTGTTCAAGACCTGTGCTTGAATTTTTTTAATGCAGGCAAAATCTGCATCAAGATGCAGGAGGACATCCAATTGCTTGCAGAACGCAAGGATGACTGGCAGATTTCGCCTCTGCAGATGCTGGTGAAATCTGCTTGTGGCATTAGCTCTGGCCTGCAAGAGCTTCTTGCTACAAAAGGCATATTCCAGAGGAACCAGCCATGAAGTCCAGCAACCCTTACAACTCATGCCTATGTGAAACTCGCCACTGAACGCTTGCTGACCTGCTGGGATTCCCCTAGCCACACCTATCTTGGAGAAACACTAATTTGGCAATACTGATAGAGTGAGGAAAATGGAAAGTTAAGAGATTTGATGACTTCTCACCCCAAAATGGCTTAGTAAGAAAAGCAAACAAGCAAAACCAAACCACCTCATTTCTGACAAGTGAGAGAGTTCATAATACAGTTCAATTACCATCCGTTTTGACATGATTCAGTTGAAGTAGAGACAATTGGATTGAAAAGTTGACATTATATTTTTTGGAAAACAAATCGGTCTCAATTCTTGTAAAAAAAGAGAACTTCTCCGATGGAGTAGAACCAGTTCTGACAAAGCTGCCACTGTCAGCCAGGCACAAAAATCGTTTAAAAGGTGAATCCTAAGTATTTTATACAAATCCAAATTACGTACTTCTCATCAATAGTCAGAGTAAGGGTCAATAAAGACAAGTTGTTTTTAAACTCCAGAAATAATCTGTTGATGGCATTAGCCCTCAGCCAAACTCCTGAGTCCTGAACATAACTTTGTAAACTCCTACCGAGTAACACCTCCTTAGCAGATCAGACTAGGAGCAACAAATTTTACATGAAAATAGATGTTTGCCAACATTTTAGGTTTACCAGCAAGTATATAAAGGAGTTGTTGAAGTCTTAGCTAGATTTTTTTTATATATGTATTATATAAAGCTAACCTGCCTAATTAGATATTTATGCAAAAATGACTGTTTTCTAAGGTGAGTAATACTAGTGGTAATTATATATTTAGCCACCAAGAATCCACATTAATGAATGGTACTTGTTGTTCAGCAGATACTGATCTCATTTGCACTGACACACTGCAATCAGTAAAGCTGCTCTGGATTAGTGCTGGACTGTGGACAGAATCTGGCCACAGGCACACAACCACATCGCTTTCTCTGGAGGACAGAGATGGCTGAGCCATGGTTTGAGTGTATTTTCTGCCACTAAATTTGACTTTTCAGCGTTGCTTTTTGATAAATATTAAACCACTCCTGAGCTAGTACAGCTAGGCATTAACGACCAAAGGTGGTGGCAAACTGATACCGTAGTACTTATATTTCAAATGACTCTCCCTGAAGTCCATAAAAAGATGAAGGACGAAGTTCTCTTGTGCAGGGGCTGTGTGGTTCACTGCCTGCAGACTCTGGCTGTAGGGAGTGTGGATCCGGGAAGACGCCATTTATCCCAGTCCAATCACAGAAAGGAAATGCTATGGCTCATTCATCTCTGTGCTAGCTGGCCGAGGGACCGGTCCTTCCTGTTTTCCCCAACTTTATCTTAAGGGCTGCAGGCAGCCAACAAGCTAGCATCCATGTATTCCCGACTTAGAACTAATGCTGGGAATCAACCCTGCACGCACTGGCCCCAGCAAACTGAGGGGAGCGCAGAGCTGTTCCTTGCACCATCCTTGGCCCTCTCCTTCCTTATCTGCATAGCTGGCAATTGTGCTGAGCTCCAGCAGCCTGTCGGGATCCCAGGACACGCTGGGTGAAATGGGAGGAGAGGCACTGTTTTGCTGTGCTGCCCCCAGTCCGGCCCTGTTCTTTACAAGACAAAATGCTTGCGGAGCACAGAACAGGTCCAGACCAGCCCACCCTTCAGTCCTTCCACTTCCTAACTGAACGCACACCACGGGCATCTCCACGTGCAATTTTTAGTTCACTCCACTGAGTGGGAAGTCAAACCCTTCTCTAACTCACTCTTAATAAACTAGATCCATCTTGGTGAAACTGCTGCCTGAAACAGTTGTTAAGGATAAATATAAACCTATTTTCTTTTTAAGAAACAGACTATTTCATTCTGTTAAGTGGTTGGTTCCTGGGATTTTCTTCTTGCCTCTAGGATATTCTAAGTGTAGAATTTTTCATGCCAAATTCATGAATCCAGGTGAGAGAGACTGTCTTATTTATTTCACAGCTTCCCTCTGCTGTAGGGATCTCCAATCTAATAGTCGTCATTACCAGGAGAGTAGCACTATACCTGAATCACACTCTCTGTAACACTGGTTCTTCTCTGGACACCTCAGTAAGGCTCTTTACTAACTTCATTTTCTCATGGCAAATTAGCAAAGCTATTTTCTCGTCTACTTATTCCTGAATCAAATCAGAGAGTTTTCCTCAATTAACCTCCCATTACTGTCTCGATTCTGTCATACACACTCACTACTAAATTTGCCCTCAGATTATTGCGTCATGTTACACATGTACAGACGAAGAAAGGACACACTTTAACTTTTTTTCTTTTTTTTTTTTTCTTTTTTTAAACAGAAGTAGGGAGAGGGGGGCTGAATGTGCAGACAAGGCAGTATAATTCAACCATCCAAGCCCTACCAGAGCATGAAGATTTTATTTTTTAATATTGCAGAGTAAGTTCCCCAACAGTCAGTGTTTGTCCCTGAAGAAGGTTAAACCTTAAACACCTGCTTCAAAAAAACCCCAACAACAACAACAAAAAAGAACCAAAACAAAAACAAAACAAAACAAACAAAAAAATAAAACCCAAAAAAACCCAAACTCTAAGCCTAAGGGCTTAAAAATTAGAGGCATAGCCTTTTTCTCTATTTTCTATATTTATATGAAAATAATTCATGCTTCATGCTAAATACATTATTTACCTTACAAGAACTTTGTCATCTTTGAATAGAAAAAATTGTTTGCTTTTTGTATTCCCCCTCTCCCAAAAGGAATCCATGCAATGTGGATCAAATTTCTTCTGCTGGCTACGCTGGTTGAATCTGGAAATCTGTTGTCATTTTTGCACAGATGAATCCTGACTGACGGTAACTGCACACTCATTTCTGAGGGCAGTGTAGGAGCTCTTTTGTTGAACTTCTGAATTTTACTGTTCACCCATATGCTTTCCTTTTATTTTTAAATACAGAATACTACTAATGGCAGTTTTTATAGCTTTGTTTCCCCACTTAGATCAAGGAACTGATCCACAGAAAAAGATTCTGATATATTTCCTTCCTTAATATCTACTGTAATTTCTTAGACTTGATTGCTTTTCACTCAGGCAGTTTAGAAGACATAGCTTGTTTTTCCCTATTACTATTATTTTTTGCACGCAGTGCCAATCTTCAGGCTTATGGCTTTTTGAACATTCTTTTAATTTATTATAGAAGACAGAATTCAATGATTAACAATGCTACTAACAGTGACCCCCCCCTCCCATTTCTTCTCATTATTTCACTGAAACCCATTGCATACATAGTTCAAATTTCCCCAAACTTAAAGTTATTGGTCTTCACATTATGAGCCACATATAGTACGTGAAGCACTAAAAGTGCATTATGGTTTGCGCAGTCGCCACCAGTGGCTGTCCAAAGACTTCTATGGCACAATGTATCCAAGTGCCACTAGATGGTTCTTGGTTTGGTGTTGAGAAGCACGTGTCTCCTCTTTCCCCCAAATCTCTTTATTCACATTCAACTTCTAACCCAATCGTAAGGCCATTAAAAAAAAATTCTTAAGGGCCAGGCCTGAATGATTACTAAATTATGCACAGCTCTTCTAGTATAGGAGGGATTTCCAAGTGCCCAATTTTACTCCCATCACATTAATGTTGATGTCACTGCGTATTCAACCATGCATTTTTGACAAGCCGGAGAAAGCAATGGCGATTTTGGCTTATTTTTTTGTTAACTTTTTGTCTTCAGGTAATGAAAAGCTTTTGTAAATTAGCTGAGTGTCAGTATGAGTTCTATGGCTTCAATCTCCTTTAAAAATAAAAATCTTAAGGGTCCAAAAAAAAAAAAAAAAGAAAAAAAAAGAAAGAAACAAAACAAAAACAAATAGAAAGAAAAAAAAAGGAAAAAATTGCTGATATTGCCACAAATCATTAGAATTCACCTGACGTGCTGAAACAAAACTTTGTAAGTTCAAACAAATCATTGATTTGTTCTAATTTTTTGTGGTTTCCTTTTGCTCTTTCTGCCCCTTTGCCGTCCGATTGGTGATGTTGTTCAAACATGATCGAATTCCTGCTAAATGCAGGAGCGATCCTGCTGCTTCTTTCATCTCCTCATCATCACTCTCAGGGGGCTTTTCTGTACGTCTCTTTTTAAGAGGCAGTGTGTCACTTGGTACTTTTTTCGCCTTCATTAAATGTTGCCTTTTCTTGTGCTGGGATGCATACCCACTGTCAGCTAAAGAATCCTTGGTCTCCTTCCGATTTTGCTTTTTGTCCTCTTCTTCTGTTTCACTATGGCTCTCGTGGCTCTGGAAGCTAACTTCACTTCCTTCACTGCTGTCTTGGCTACCTTTAGTTGCAAATTCATACTGGTCGTCAGCAGAGGAAGAGGAAACGGAGTCACTAGCAGGTGATGTGCTCCTGTGGTTGGAAGATTTGGCACTGCTGTAGTTATGATCCTCCTTTGGGTCACCGCTAACAACTGGAGAGCCACAGGACTGTTCGCTTTCTGTCCGCATCCGGCAGTTTGTTATTCCATTCCTGTAAAAACAAATTGAAGCAGTCTTAGAAGCCACAGAAATGTCATCCTGCTTCAGTGCAAAAGATGATAAAGCCAACTGATAGATAATCTAAAATTATGACTATCAAAGTAATGTCCATGCAAGCTGGTTCCACAGTCTGACTCAAACTGCTTGTGGATCAGACCCCACATATAAACCAAGCCAAAAGACATGTAACAGCACGAGAGGTAGAGGCAAGTAGGGAATGGTTACAAACAAATGATGTCTGAACAGCCCTGACTGACATTTCAACTAATAGTTTACACTTCCAAAAAAATGAAAAAGAAAAAACCCCATTATTTTATCTACTGGACATTAAATAAACTCTGATGAGTTGCATAAATATCCTTTCCCCTTTTCCATATAAAATGATACTACCAAAAACGTGGGGAAGAGACACTAGCTTTCTGGAGTACTTCTTTGCCTCCTCTCAAAGACTCTTTTCCAGCCCTAGTGTTCCAAGGGTAGGAGATGTTTAACCTGAAAGTAGCACAGCTTCCATTTAGGACTCTTTCCAACAGAAGGAGCAACTAAGTATAAAACCCAGGTCCAGTCACATTTCTGATTGTGATCAGTTCATGAATAATTTTAAAAGCAATATAATCTTAAGCCACAAGCTGCCAACAAAATATCACAAGGTGTTTAAAAACAAACAGTAGAAAAAAATAATCTTGTTTTGCCGTAGAAGTTGTCATTTTCCCCTTTGATTTTATAGCACCTGGTGCTGTGGCAACTACTGCAGCACAATATATTTAAAAACTAACAGTGTTCCTTTCTGCACTGGAAAGTATTAGACCATTGCCACTGACTTTACAATACAGAATACAACACTTGCAAGTCTGTTAAGAAGGGACTGACCCTGTGCAGTGCTTAATTCCTGCTAGAGAGGAGGATGCTCACCATTGAGTAAAGGCATCATCATTGCTACTTGCCAGTTCACCAGCCTTGAACCCCTCTATCAGCTAAAAAAACCCCACAAACAAGCAAGACTGTTTAAACTACCACATGATAAACTGCATTAAAATCTACTCTTGCCATCTTCATGCTATCACTAGAGTGCTCTTGCGCACTCATGGCAGTGTCGGATTAAAACCTTTGCTTAAACACATGCACTGAACACAGATATTTCTTAACAGGAATGGCACAGTGGCAAGTCCAGAGTATTACTGCTCTTCTACTTAAAAAATGGGAAAGTGCTTTAGGTTTTGGGTAATCACCTCACATCTGGTTTCCTTATAGAAGAAACAACAGAGTATTATCCATTTCTGAAAGGTAAGGTTGAAAGGTGGAAAATATAAGAGTGGTATATAATTCCACAGTTCCTATTCATCTAAATGCTCTTGTCTGTAGAGCTTGCAGAAATAAGAAACAAGCTTTTGTGAACCAGTGACAGGACAATGCTAGAAGGTAGCAAATTAATCAGTCATTCCAAATGTTCCTATTTACAGGATTTTCAAAGAAACATATACAATAGATGGCCCAGTTATTAGCAAAGAAAGCCTCTTGCCAACTCCTTTTGCTCAACAAAATTATTTTCCCCTAGATTTTCGAGTAGCTTTATGATCCATAAATTATATACAGAACCCAGAAGGAATACACAAAGCTCCTTCAATTATTAATAACTAAATGCAATGTCATTCACGATTGTGCAGCAAGCCAGCTGCATTTACTCTGTGATGGTTTGCCACTGCAGGGGTTGTCATTAGAGGATGCCAAATGCTTAAAAGAAGAAATCATCCATACTAAACTAGTTGTAAGGTGAATTTATAACCAACTCCTTAAGATCAGTCATTACAAGGAAGCATGTGATGCATTTTAAATGACAGATTCTTCGTTTTTAGGATAAATTTACATTTCAAGATCTTAAAAATTATCATAAATTAGCATAAAATTAAAGTTACTTCATTTTACTAGGCAGCTAATAGTCAGAGCAATGTGGCTCAATAAAAATCACATGCTACTAATTTTCCATTAAAAAATAGCAATAAATTCTTGCTCCAAGGAAACAAACACAGGACAGAATAGGTGGGAACTCAAATGGGATTCAAATCAAGATGCCCATTTTCATGTTATTAGAACTACTCCTATTTGTTAGTCTGTACTGAGACACTATCAATAAAAGGAAAGCTACAGTTCCATGAAGCAGAGCAACCACATGCCAAAAAGACATCCCTGATTTGCCCCGCTCTTGAGTCCCTAGTGTTTGCTTTTACATAAAGGGGCTATAATTTGGATTCAAAAGCTCTGCCCATGGGACTTACTCCAGATCCCAACTCTTTCAAAAAAGCATAAAAATAGAATGAAAGGCCCGGAGATTACAGAAGCGATGTCCCAGGGGAAGGTGTACTACTATAGGGTTAGCATCTCACAGGGAGTGACTGCAGATAGGGATGATGACAAAGAAAAACGAAGTCCACAGAAAGGTGCAAAAAAAGAAATCACTTAAAAAAAAGGGAGGAAAGGAAATACCAATACATTTCAGAAGAAAGGCATCTATGGTGGAACTGGTCAGGAAATGGATAGCATTTGCATCTCAGAAAAATCTTTGGTTTTCACTTACATTTTGAAAGATTTCCAACCAGTTCTGCTTGGGGAAATATAAAAAGGAAGAGAAAGCAGGTCAAGGACAGAATTAGCAAAGGATATTCACAGAAATGAAAAAGTTATATGGCAGAATGTTTTAGGATATTCATAACATCAAAAGTCATGTACCCTGAAAGTAAATTAATCTGATTTGTATCTCGATACACAATAGCTCAAACATAAGATATGAAGAATTACTTATAATTGATATTAGTAGATTAGAGTTGAATAAACTAATCTCTAAGCCATTCATATTCCGCACGTGCTTCTGAGACATTCTAAAGCTTTATATTGCTCTTATACAGTCACATACCCACTAAGATATGAATCTGTGATCTACTTAGTTCAATCTAGATCATCAGTGGACAGAACTCCCTTGAGTTTCAGGGGACAGATTTTGGCCAGCTTAATCTATTTTTGCTCACAGTTCCGGTTGTAACTCTTAACTTTGTTACTGAAACAATAATAGATTTTTAAAACGAGTGTTTGCTCTGATGTTTGGATTATTTTTAAATTACAGAGGGGAAGAAAAGATATTTAAGAATTCTGTGCTTACTAAAACAATGAGGGGAAATGTATTTCAAGTAATACCTTATTTTTTCCCCATTTTTTTGTTCAGAACTTTATTTCAAAATTTCCAAAAACTGACATATTTTCACATGTTTTAAAGCAGTAGCTTGCCCTCTCAGGGAAGTCCATGCGACAGTCTCTAGAGCTTTTCATCCTACTGACATAGACTATTTTATTTGCTTGAGGGATCTTAACCATAGTTAGACAGATAAAAGTAGCATGCACAGATTCTTCTTAAAGTATTTCAATTTGTCTATAGCACAATGACACAACCCTCAAGCACTGCAGAGGTAAGTTTGGACTTCTGAAAGCCTGACTCCATTCCCATTGTTAATAGATAGGAGCTCTGCTACTAATGTCATCAGGAGCCAGATGGGACTCACAGCAGCTGGATTTCAAGTCAGCAAGGAAATAATGTCCTTTGCACAGTGTTAGTGCCTCTGCCTTTCAAAGGGGTCTTCCTCAGTATGAGAGGAAAGTAAGTCTCTGTCATTTTATGAAGGGCAGACATATCTTCCTTAAATTTCTCTATCAATCAGCTTTAAAAAAAAAATAGGTAATCACAGTCTACTTGCAAACAGCAAAAAGTTTTGTTGAAAAATAATTTAACATAATTTCAAAAGGAAGTTCAGGACAGTCAGAACTTTTAACTACAGGTAGTTGAACTGTTACTTAAAACCACTACATACCAGCAGACAGGAGGATGAGCAAGCATATGAAACGTAATTGCTGCTCACTTGCTGTATGATGAGATTCTATCAGGGATTATTGAGTTAAAAGTCAACAAGTCGGTCATGCTATTGATAGAAGCTCTGACAAAGGTACTTCACAGCATAATTCTATGCAAAGGACCACAGTAAATGTGAGTCATGAACTGCCAGCAGAAAGAGCACTTTGTCAGTATCAACAGCAGATCTGAAGTTAAGACAAATGCAGCCCTCTGCATTTTGCAAAAAAGAATAATCAAGTCAGCCAGTATTTTTGTCCTTTAGTTACTAAAGGACTCCTTCAGCTCCCAAGGATAACTCATCCTGCCTGTTACAGGTGGGAAGGGGAATGCAATGCAACAAGGATGATTTGGGGTTTGTTAAGCTGATCATGCCAGTACTAAGCAAGAACATCAGGAATATACAACTAAGAATTCATAAAAGGAAGTACCTACCAGTTCCTTTGCCTAAGTAAAAATAATCATTCACAGATAATGCAAGTATATAATTATGCTCTGGCATCTATGCTGCACATGTTACTTATGTTTGGTTTATTTAATCACTGCTTGAATAGCTGCTTTAAGGGAGGAAAAAATAAGCAAAAACTAAAGCCAGCATGAGAAAGTACTTGCTTTCCCTAGGAAGAGGGAACATTTTGTTTTGGAAAATTGAATGGAAAATTTTTTTACTTAGGGAAATTTCCTGGGAAGCTTGTGTTTGCAATTTACAGATAATTGTGAAATTCCTTGAGAAGCTACAAATGTTTGGTGAGAAAGGAGAATTGCAAAAAAGGGAAAAAACCCAAGTAATTTCCCATTAATTTTTATTTTTAACCTGCAATAATATAAAAATCCTTAGTATTTCTAACAAATACTAGCAAAAGTAATTTAACCTGTTACCTAGGCATAAGTGGCATATAAAGATGTTTTGCCTAAGTTTTCAATTAGCCTGAAACAATAGCTTGGATTCATTCTGGGGAAATACGAGCTAAAAAAGGCAGTTAAGCAATGAAGTCTACACTATCCTCCATCCTGACATTTCTGATGCATCGACAAACAAAGAGAATGGCGAATCCAGCCAAAGCATCTTTACTGGGACTGGCTCTGCTTAGCTCTTCCCAAATCCTAAAGGTTTTACCTGTTCCTTAAGGTTTCCCACCAAGGTGGCTGCAAATTTTTCTTCCTTCTTTTTCACCTCCACCTCACACGCACTCGCTGACTAGTGTTATGTGATGGGGTTTTCATTTGGCCTCCCCATCAGAACAGACCACTGAAAAGGCCATTAAGCCCCACTGGCCAGGACTAACAGCATCTTAATCTGGCCAAAAAAATGGGGAAGCATGGCCTACACAGTACAAAATACACTGAAGACCAGAGCTTCATAAACTCTGGATTCCCTGGGAGCCCATCTGGCCCCTGTAGCAGTGAACATATGGGGCAGAGGAAAAGAAAAAAAGACCTAATACATAAAGATTACCAGCGATATTTTGTAAAACATCTTTTGCAGAATAACCTGGACCAAATTACAAGGCCTATGCCATACAGCTGGTGAGATTCCTTGTGGAGTGAAATTCCATCAACCTTACTTCAGTGGATTTGCCCACACCAGGCAGGTGAGGCTTAGGCTCAGTACGTCTACTCCACTGTGGCAGGACGTGGACATAGACAAAAACCACTCATGCACTATTGACAACCAAAGAAAATTACGAACATCATGGTGGGGGCTGTCTGCTGAATGTACTGAAATCGTAGGTCCAACAGCTCTGATATTATATCATCTTTCAAGCTTGTGCTCTTCCAAAGGCTGGTGTAACGTAAGGTGATTATATATGATAGAGCTTCGTGCACCTTGCCAAGATGCACGTTGGCAGATGTGTTGGCCACTTTGACAGAGACTATGCCGACTAAAGTGGATGCAGAAGTCCTTCTAAGTAAACCTTTAAAAGGTATTTTCCAACAGAAGTATACAGTAAGAGCAAGAACTCACCTTCAAAGCACAACCAACTCCTTGCTGCCTGTGAGCCACTACTGGCTTTGCCTGCTTTCATTTAATACCTTTGTAAGTCAGTATTTTATTTTCTACATACCCAGACTATCACTGCATTTGCTTTTAGATTCTCTCGGAGAACTGTATGGGGATATGGTCTGCCAAAAATATGTATGATGGATCTCATGTTAGAGACATGCTACACGCTGTGCAGCTTTGAAGCGTTATTTTCCCCTGCTGTCTTTGGGTGGGTCTTAGACTTGTCAGCCACAACATGGAAAATATGGATGGTAAACAACCTAAAAATGGTGGTTTAAAGTAAATAAAAAGCTACTGTCAAAACACATCCAATTACACTCTGCTGTGAGATTTAACACCAGAGGATGATTTTCAAAGTAAAAATAGTGTGGGATGCCTTTTCCATTTGTAGATTAGTTTGGAACGAAAGGCCTATTTGTGCAATTTAAGCCAAATGCACTACAACATAATGATGCTCTCCTCAATTGCTATTCTTTATTCATGGAAAGTGGTGAATTTGTCGTGTTTGTTAAATACTTTTCAGTAGGGTTTTTTAATCCAAACTACTTAATTCAACCGTACTTTATTTTATATATAAAAAATAAAGTAATTACATGTAATTACATGGGAACAGCAACACATCGATACCTTGTGAAGAACAAAATATGCTAATACAGTCAGTCATACTGTTGAAGAAGAATGGCACAGCAAAATTTCCAAACGATGGGAGCTAACACATCAGAAATCACAGATTTCGGTATCTTAGTCCAATGCTATGGTTTTGGCCTCCTTTCTGAGTAACAGATTAGTCAAAACACTCCACCTAATTACAACTGCAAATTTAATCCAAGACCAACTTTTTGTTTCTGTGTTTTGACACTAATGGCAATCTGCACAACAGGACAACAAACTGCAAGTTATTTGCAGGCAGTCTGGGGGACAACAAAACCAAAGACCATTAAGGTATTTGAAGAAATAAATACCAAAATGAAATAAACAGCTCAGACAGCAAGGAAGTGCCAATAGAAGACCAGCACCTTACATTACATATGGTAATTAAAGAAAACCACTTAAGAGGTTTAATTTATTATGCAGGGATCCACTATCAAGAAAATGCTAGAGGTCCCCTATATGAATGACGAAAACCACCTTTCTTTGGTTTAGGCCTTTCATTTAGAGCACCAAAGGAACTCTTCTCAAGAAAATATACCTCTGAGTAAAAACTTCGTGGAAAGAAGCTGTCTGGCTTCTCAATATAGAGGCAGAGGCTCATAACTTCTGCAGATAACTAACAGAAGACTGCAGCACCTCCTGTGGCTGCCCAGCAGGCCTCCCTCCTGGTGAAAGGTGGAAGGGGAAATCAACCTTCCTGCACCTGAGCAGGTCTAAAAACATCCTCTGCCAGCCTGACTGGACCATCTCCCTCTGTGCAGGAATGACAGCTCTGTGTGAGCTGTACTCCTACTCTTAACTGCAACAGAATCACAGAATGGTTGGGGTTGGAAGGGCCCTCTGGAGATCATCTCGTCCAACCCCTCTGACAAAGCAGGTTAACCTACAGCAAGTTGCACAGGACCATGTCCAGGGGGGTTTTGAATATCTCCAGAGAAGGAGACTCCACAGCCTCTCTGGGCAGCCTGTTCCAGTGCTCTGCCACCCTCAAAGTAATGAAGTTTTTCCTCATATTCACATGAAACTTCCTGTGTTTCAGTTTGTGCCCGTTGCCCCTTAACCTGTGGCTGGGCACCACTGAAAAGAGTCTGGCCCCATCCTCTTGACATCCACTCGCCCTTAAGGTATTTATAAGCATTGATGAGATCCCCTCTCAGTCTTCTCTTCTCCAAGCTGAACAGACCCAGCTCCCTCAGCCTTTCCTCACAAGGGAGATGCTCCAGTTCCCTCATCATCTTCATTGCCCTCTGCTGGACTCTGTCCAGTCCAGTAGTTGTCTTCTTGAACTGGGGAGCCCAGAACTGGACACAGTACTCCAGATGTGGCCTTACCAGGACAGAGTAGAGGGGGAGGAGAACCTGCCTCGACCTGCTGGCCACACTCTTCCTAATGCACCCCAAGATATCATTGGCCTTGCTGGCCACGAGGCCACATTGCTGGCTCATGGCCAACTTGCTGTCCACCAGGACTCCCATGTCCTTCTCCCGACGAGCTGCTCTCCAGCAGGTCGACCCCCAGCCTGTACTAGTGCACGGGGTTATTCCTCCCCAGGTGCAGGACCCTACACTTGCCTTTGTTGAACTTCATCAGGTTACTCTCTGCCCAACTCTCTTGCCTGTCCAGGTCTTGCTGAACGGCAGCGCAGATTTCCAGTGTATCAGCCACTCTTCCCAGTTTGGCATCATCAGCAAACTTGCTGAGGTCATGCTCCATCCCTTCATCCAGGCCATTAATGAATAGGTTAAACAAGATTGGATCCAGAATGGACCCCTGGGGAACACCACCAGCTACAGGCCTCTAACTAGACTCTGTGCCACTGATCACACCCCTCCGATCTCTGCCATTCAGCCAGTTCTCAATCCACCTCACTGTCCACTCATCTAATCCACATGTCCTGACCTTACGAAGAAGGCAGCTGCATGGATGCTGTGGTAGATTCCCCCTGCTGCACAAGATAAGCAGAAGTTATTCTCATGAGATGCCATGAAAGCTCGACACAAGTCCTATATAGCCCTGTGTATCTGAGAAGAGGGGTAAGCACCAAGAAAAAGGGTGTCATTTTTACAGTAACCGATAACAGAAGCATCCAGCTTTGAGAGGACCAGATGATGTTCTAAGAGGCATTGTGCATCCAGACTGACCTTCTTCCTAAAGAAATTCTGAAACTTACTATCGCTGAGAGATACAAAACAAAACTGACTGCTGCACTTGCTCTACTGCAGAGAGTCCCCTAACTTCTCAAAAGCTTTCAACGCCTCTTCTTGCCCACTCCCTTCCCTTCAAGAATTAGAAGAGGGGATATTGCAGGAGCCCTTAAATATGAGCAGACATCATGCAGACTAGGAATATATTCATAGCAAGCTATTTCTAATACTGCTTAAGGCTGGAGAACGGAACAAAAAGAATTAGAAATGCCTGCATTAACGAATTATAAATGGTTTTCTCTGAGACAGAGCAAAAAGAACATAAGCAAGGAAGGGGTAAAATCCCTAATTTCCCAAATCTACATTAGCAGGTAGCTGGTAAAAATCCTGTTCTACCTGCTGGGAAAAAACGTGAGTAGTAGTTCTCAGAAAACACGTAAAATTTAACGATATACAGCCTTACAGCATAGCAATTTGAGGATGTTTACCTAGAAGGAAGTTTTTAAGTGGCCTGGAAGGAAAAACAGTTCTATCTCCTTCTTGAGTCAACCCTGACTATGAAACAGGGTCTAAGCAGAAAATGCAGATAAACTCAAGAGAGAATATTCAGAGCACTACATCCTCCATTTAGCTTGGACACCTCATAAAAATTATATATAATTAATGATCCAGTAGTCCCACAGCTCTGCAGTCCCCATTGGAACAGAATACAAGTCCTGGCTAAAGCCAGTGGCAAAGCTACAGAAGACGGTTGACCTCCACTGCTAGCAAGGCCAGACTGTGCTAAAGAGAGATGGAGAGGAACTCTGCAGACTTCTGGAGGATGATCCTCAGGGTTGCATCCCTTCAGTGTAGCAAATCTGAAAAACAGCTGAAACAGCTGCCCATCAAAAAATAGGATTTTACTCCAATTAGCATCTTCCCCTCTATGCATTTTAGGCATCAAGAGTATATGAACATCATAGGTCTCTCTTCCCCCACTCCACCCCCATTTCTTGGATGGAAATACTAGCACCCAAAGGGCTAGACACTGATTCTGAAAAGGGATTAAAAAATAAAGAGCAAATGGGAAAAAAATTCCAAGAAAATAATAACGGAGTAAGTAGCTATCAAGATAACTTTATTTCACTGCCTTCCAGCCATTTACTGAGATCAGAGGGCGTAATTGGAACAGCCCAGCAAAGCAGGGTCAGTGCTAATTATGAAACCCCATCCAGAATGCCCAAATGCCTGAGCTGAAATAGCTTTCGCAGATACAGAGAGTTCTGAAAGAGAAGGGCACAGACAGTACACTTGACCAAATTAATCTCCGTTGTGACTGACTGAAAATGGAGCTACACCTGAGGCAAACTGTTCTTCCACCAATAAAACATCAACGCTTCAAGTAAAGCAAACCACTGAACCACAGTTCTTATTGCCATCACTAGATGTCTCTTACTGCCCTGCTTTCTGAAAAAGTTGAGTATCTTCAAACAACATTTTACCCTTGAATGTTGCAGTATAACCTTGAAATAGAAACTGTAGTGAAAGAAACTGCCTCACAAAGACCTACATTAATAACAAAATGACAGCTGTATGTTCAGGTATCTTTCAGAATTTGCTTTAATATTTCTGATATTCTTCTCACTGGTATTTAATCCAGGAAAAGGTCTTTAGGAAAAGGGAGGGAGGGAAGTAAGGAGGGGCAGGAAAAGGCATCTGCACTTAGAAAAACAGGTCACTGTAGGAGGTTCTCACCATAAACTGTCTACAATTTGCTAGTGAAAATAAAACTGCTTTTTACAAACCAGTGTGCAACAGACAGGCATGCCATGACTATCTTGCAAAGAATGATAACCCAAGAATTTTACGTGGCAGGGTTTTATTTCATTTAGAACCTCAGAAGCATTAGCAAGCAGCAAAGTATCTGTTGACCAGAGCTCACAAATACTTTTACATTCTCTGCAAAATACTGATTTATTTCATGAAGATCCCGCAGTGAGCTACTCTTACCTTACTGCAACAGCCATGCTTCCTATAGGGTTGATTGGCAACGGCCTGGCTCCAGGAAATATTCCTCTACTCAGAACTCGAGCTCCATTTTGTATCACTCCTGGAGGAACTGAAAAACAAAACAAAACAAAACAAAACAAAAAAAGAATATTTTTTCTTTTAAAGGAAAAGTTAGAAAAATGTAGGAGCAAAATGTGGAACTTTTCAATGAATTGAGAAAACATTAGAGAGGCTCGTGTAGTACACTGCTTACCTTGAACATCTTAGCCTCAACTCTTCCGAATGCCATGCTATTTCCAACGCTATTTTCATGTCAAAAATTTTAACAGCAACCAATGGTAACATGGCTTGTGGAAGCCACTGCCTGACCTAGTTGCTGCAGATCATTCCTTGTACAACCTTATCACTTTTGTTTTGTAATCGCCATTCTGCTGGGAATGCATGTGTTTACAAAACAAGCTGTAAGCATAGAAGTAACTTTTGTCTACACTAAGAAACACTGACCCTTTACAGATAAACAGAATATAAGCAGTTCACTGCAAGAACACAGGTCACAGCTTTTTATCACCCCAGCTTACTTTCTGAGCAGCAACCTTTTGGCCTCTGTCTCCTGCAAAATAAAATATTAACTACAAATG